AAAAACATGCTTGGTGATTGTGGTTCCGAGATTTTCTATACTCTTTATGACCTCTACAGGAATGGTTAGAGGACCGCCAGCAACATGGAGGTGTATCATTTCACACACGGGACAGTTCACACTCCAGAGGAACTATTTATTTAAGGTAGCTAGCCGTACATGTTCATTCTCAATTCAATTTCTAGTAAACTACTTCACATCAGATGCAACAGAGCAGGAAGATACGTCAAACAGACGGAGACTCAGGCTACGCACACTAAGAAAGATGTATCGCACTGCTCCTGTTTTCTTAACGTGAAAATGGAGGGTGATGGATCTGTCACCGTTAAGGGTTGCCTGGGACATGTGGGCCACAAAGTCGATCCCGCCCTCTTACGCCTGACACAAGCTCAGCAAGCTTACCTCAAAGAGCTGTTAGAAGGTGCGTCAAAGTGGTAAAACTCAATATTCTTCGCAACACTATAACAGTAATCTCAGAAATCTGTTTAGAATTCTCGCATGATTATATCATAAAGCGCCTTAGAAAAGAGTCTCCAGCAAGCACGTCAAGACTGCACTACGTGACCAAAGGAGACCTGTGGAGTCTTGTAAAACGTTTTGGGTTGAGACCCGGATTCCGGCATAAAGACGATATGCAGTCTTTGAAAGCGAGACAAGAAGAGGGGAATCCGGACGATGGAATCAGACTACTAGAATTAGCTGAGGATCCTACCGGAAAAGGATTTCGCATGAGTGAGGACTGTTACAAATGAAATAAGTTTGTCCATTCCAAACATTGTTTTCAGTCATTATCACCCCTCAGCAAGTGGAATGGTTGAAGAAGTTTTCGCATTGAGGAATCTCCGTTGATGATACACATCACGCCACACGATACAACCTCAAGCTGGCAACGGTTACGGTTTTGAACGAGAGGGACGCGGGTGTTCCAGCAGGTAGACGAATTCAGTTACTATATATGGATCCAGTGGAATTGAAACGACAATATTTAAGCCTTCCTACTCAGTGGGACCATGACTTCTGCTGATGTAGAGAAACTTTTTCTCGAAATCCAAAGCGTGATACCCGAATTCAATCCTAAGCAAATAGTTACTGACGAAGCGCCGTGCTTTTACAACGGTTTTCGCTCGGTGTTTCCTCATTCGCAAGCCAAACTTCACTACTGCAGATGGCACATTGAGAGGACATGGCAGAGAAATGCTGTTAAATTAATTAAAGAAGCAAAAAAGAAGTTGGTGGAATTATTTCTATTATTAGTGATGCGGTATGCACTCAACCATTCCCCGATACATTTATGAACCAAAGTTTCAGCCTCAAATTCGGAACAGATTGAAGAAGATGCTGAGAGATCTCCTCAAAATCGAAGACTTGCCCACGTTCCAACAAAAATTTGGTGAAATTCTCGCGTTTCTCCGAGTCGAGGGCCAAGGTCAAATGGAGGATTACCTGAGGCGGAACTACCTGAGTACAAGTTGACTTGATTGTGTTAATTGCTCCTCAACTTATATAAAGCCCTATTTAAGATATAACACCTACGTGGGCATCATTCTCAAATCAGGGTGCCATAATGGACACCACCATGATTAGCGAGAGGTGGCACCTGCGTCTGAAAACAGAATTTCTCCACAGAAATGCTAATGCCAGAGCAGACTGCCTGGTGGACCTCCTGATTAGAGCCGTGGAAGAGTTGTCGAAGTCAGATGAAATCAAGGTATATCAGAACAATTTTACTATGTTGAATAAAAGCAGCATTTTGTTAAGGCTCGTCGTCGGCTTGGCCTGTAAGAATTCCTACCCGGCCAACAGACGCCATATGCCATCGCCAGGCCATGAAACTTTTTGGCTCTTATCCTGATAGAATTTGCGAATTGAGCACCGGAAAATGGCAAGTACTTACAAGGCAACCTGAGGGGCTGTACATGTACATTAGTCATGTTCAAAGGCGTAGAGACTGCGAATGCAGCGACGCTGCACAGGGGAATGTCCAGTTGCCCCCTCTGCGACGTCTGCCCATATGCATGGTCGTGCTCCTGTACGGACAACCGAGCAGGAATCAGCTGCATTCATCGTCACGCTGTGATGCTTCATGGTCAGGCTGCCAACAGGGCGGCATTCAGACTTTCACCAGTACAAGCAACTGAGGAAGAAGTGGGAGTACCTGGGGATACTGCCGGACCAAGTACTGCACCACTTCCGGCAGAAATAAGCGCCGCTCAGGAAAGAAGACAGCAGAGAGATCAACTGAGAAGTTCTATCAATATGGTGAGTAGAGAGGACTTATGTTTATTATTGAAATAAAACATGAAATTTTCAGAAAATATCTGTGCTCCAAACTAATGTGAACGCACTAGTTAATACAGACACCGAGGAGGCAAGATAAATGCTTTCGGCGATCGACGACCTAGTAGATAAAGAATCAAAAATGCACCTGACGCCCTTACAAGGGATAGCCGTGCGACCAGAGCTAGCCAAACCTGGAGGGAAGCCAAAGCTGCCAAAAGTACAGCTCGATACCGTGAGTCTTTTCAAATTCAAAGTCGTTGCATCCAAATTTCATAAAAAAAAATTGCAGCGCAAGCAAAGCCGTGCCACGAAAGGCGGTCCACCGCACGATGAACCTGGCAGTGACGGCGAAGACCCTCGAGAATAGCAAAGGAAGGAAGTAATGACCAATGAATAATAAAGCGTTCTCAATCTCTCAATGTGTTAAATGTATGAAGTCAGTCAATGAAATCGACATGTACGTGTAGGAATAACTCTCAGTGATTAACGAAACAGTTATGGATGCCGGCACAAATTGAAATGAACACAAATCACAGAAAGTTTGGTTACAATTCATTTCATACCGACATACCTCTCATAGGATGTAACTTACCGAGAGAAAAGAGCTGTGAAGAATCTCAGGAATAATTATACCTTCAAGAATAGCCGTAATAAACCGCTGTGTAGAAGTAGCACCACGAATAACAGCATCCAATTTGACAACTCAGCGTAAGAATTAAAATACCGGACGATATTCCAACAGTACCGGACCTCTCGATATTACGTATATATCCCACCCTGCGCCGGTGCAATTGCGTACCGCAAGCGATTACAGTACACCCACGCCTAGTTCTACTGGCGTTGACATTTGTAACTGATGATCACAGGCGGGGCTCGTGATGAAAGGAAATGGGAAGACTAATCAATTCATAACTAGCACAGCTCCGAATATTGTACTGAGTTGAGCCATGCATTTCTCCTTTCAGATAGGTGACGGGTACCGAGAGATGCTCTACATATCGTTGGAAAACCATTGCGCGCCTGGAAACCACTCTAATTCCTCATGTCATTTACTTCTTAACATGCAAAATAGGGTAATGTGCTAGTGTATTTATAATGTTCCGCACTAGAACAATCATTGATGCCATTATGCATTGTACCAGTGCAGTGAGGGACTCGAGGGGACGAAGTTTACTTGGCACCTGAGGGAAGAGAGAGTTCTAATTCGTGAGGTAGTTTTCATCATGAACTGCTTAGTAGTTGCGTCTCACGGCCACCTTGTTTTCGAGTTGGTAGTTGATTTATTAGCACTTGTAGATATTTCCATAGACATAGAAATCTGATACGGAGGTATCCTTGTGAGGATGACTTGTGCTGAAAGTGAGAGCGCATACTTGTAGATGATAGGCACGGGATATGTTCATTCTTTCTGTAAAAGATGCCGTAAAATGTAATTCAGTTCCATTGGAGATAATCCGCTTACAGGAGCGTTTGCGTTACTGTTGCGAATCAATTTCTTGAGGCGCTAGTGTACTCAAAAGGGGCATGCCCACGCTGACTGAGCCTTGGAGAAGAGGGTGAACTTTGAGGGTAATGAAAACTGCTTACACATCCCCCTAGACTCACAGCCTAGTACTAGGGGGACCAGCAGGGGTGGGGAGGAGCATGATGACTTGGCGCTTTTATTCGCCAACCTTGTGTGGGATTTTACAGCTTCTGCGTTGGAAGATAATAGCAGTTCTTTACGTAAGCTGTGAGCAAAAGCTTAACTATTGCGCTATAAATGGGAAAACTGTTCTCCACGATTCCAATCATTTTGCATTAAATGTTATGTTCAGTGTTCGCTTCCACTTTTGCTGGATAGGAGATAGGAATTTTTTATATCCACTACCACAAATATTCACTGCTGACATCTCGAAGATATATGCAAAAAACTGCTAGACTAGATATAAGTCATCTAGTCTTATTATTTCCTCTCATCACAAGTTCTACCCGTAGTTATTCAATCGAAAACAGGGTGCCAACGATAGCGGAACTAGCCGTGAGAGTACTGTAATCGCCTGCTGTACGCAATCGCACGGGCGCAGGGTGGGATAAATACGTAACATCGGATAAATACGTAACATGCGACCTCTCTTTACTTCCCGATTTTGGCGCGCCGAGCACTGCAGCTATTGATCGAGATTGGGGCGGGGCCACTCGCTGGCAATGTGCCAATGTTGGCATGGTGCCATCGCCGGGCCGGCGGAAATCTGGCCGCGCGTCCTAACGCGCACAATTTCGGCGACGGAGTGGAGGTGAACTATGTCGATTCACGAAGACCTTGCAATTTTCTTAGTGGTATCCCTCCTACTAGTCGGGTCAATCCCGGAGTTTGCCTTTGAGTAAGAGCTTCGGGCTCGAGCATTTACTGTAGGTCACCGTGAGCTGACGACGATGGCGGACGACATCATATTCTGGAGACGGTGAAGGCACTGAAGGAGGGCTTGCTTCTTCTAATAGAGGTGTATCTGAGGAACATTTCGCTGAAGAGCTTCCGCCAGTGACGACAACTCCGCGACGAAAAACGCTGAGTTGCGACATAATGTCTGTGGCAAATGACAAAATGTCTTTTTTTATTGGCCTCGCCTGTATAGCACGATGTACATCAACAATGAACCAGGAATGGAAATTCACAAATGGTACATCAAATAACTGAACGATAACTAGCCAGCTCTGCACTGTGCGAAATACTGTAGGTTTTAAGCTGTGAGATTACATGAGAAATCCTTTGGTGTTAACGAGTTCGAAGCGGTACGGTTTACAGTGGCGCCTTCTGGTCCCAGAATGCTAACATAGTTCTTGGAATTGTATCCGAAGGAATTCGCAAGTAGAAGATTTATTACGGATTGATCATATCTGCAATCGTTACTCAATTAAGGAGATTTTTGCAATGTATTACATGACATCATAGCTAGTAGAGGTGATATCTTGTATATTTGCTTACTAGTTAGTCAAAGAATGAAGCGAAAAGCTTTTCTTTTTGAGATGCGCTATGCGTTTCAGTTCCTTTCAGAATCGCAATAGCGCCTGAATGCAACTTGACCTTTGAAATGACGTGCGGAGACCAGCTGGTGTGCAGTTGATTCCTTTATTCTCTCGGACGAGCCGGGAAACATGAGCTACCTTGAGTAGATGCGATTCTAGGTTGCCTTAGTGAGATACGACCTAAGACTTGAATCCTTCCCTCTCAATCGCGTGTGTGGAAAGTTGCGCCATTTGTCAGTACGCCGATGGATGCTGTTGTTATTTTTGATATTTTGCACGATTAGTAATTGGTTAATCTTTCAAATTGCTTAGTGTTATTTCGAATTTACTCAATTTCATCCCATCAATTTTTCACCCGATCGGCTTCATTCTACTTCGGCGTTGTTCCAACGACTTACCTGTGGCACCCAGCGTAGTGCGTGAACGGGTCCTTAAAAGTACATTTCAGCTGCGCTCTAGGAGGTGCCATGCAGTCCTTCTCCAATGCGCACAGAACGTACCTGAAGACATAGCGCAGCTCAGGTTTGCTATCAAAAGCACAATAAATGTTTAGAGAATGACAAACCAATAAATCCCACCACATTCTTCATGTGTAGAACAATTTTCCCCTTCGGGTCAGGTAGACGGAAATATCAAAGTATGAACGCGGGTGCTTAGGCTTTTGACGTGAACCTGTAAACGCTTTTCAGACAACCATCCACGAGGCTTCTGGATGTTTTGGTGTCTGGTCCCACTTCTGCTTCGTCGATTTCATCTCAAAGCCTAGAGTTTTTGACCCACTTTACTTATACACGCCACTATTGGTCGTCTGATTTGCGTGCTTGTACAATGCCCGGTGGCAGTTGTAAAAGAAGGAGTTTAGCCTTCCTATCCCAGTTAAGAAATGTTCAGTGGTTACTTTTCAGTTCCTGCTAGCATGTCATTCAGCTGTTGTGCATCGCGAATCGCTAGCGCACTGTCTCGTGAGAACATTGTTATAAGTGATTATGTGCATTTCCGATTGCCTTTGTGATACTTGATATAAGCCACATGCATGGGGCATAATCTAAGGCCACGTACGAATAACAGTGAACAAACCATTTCAATATGTTAATGGCGTCCTTTGTCCTAACGACGAAAACAAAGCCAGCGTCGTGGTTCACAGAAGTTCTCCTCGTCAGAAGAGGGAATAGAGTCGGGATATACACATAGACACCGAAAAAGTTTTTTCTTAGTTCACTCTTCACTTATGACCGAATTACACTGATGTACTTTAAACGCAAACGTACCAGGGTCTGTGGTCGAAAAAACGCCATGGCCAGAAGAGGAATGTAGAAGATAAGCGGACTGAAGAAGCACACATAGTTAATGATAGTTTTTTTTAGTTTTAGCTTTGAAGTATCCTGCTTTTTTATAGGGTATTTTTAAGGCATATGGCGCGATAAGTTGGTCGTCATTGCAAATGGAAGTGAATATGGTAAGTGATGCAATGATGAGTAAAAAACATGAGGATACCATACATACTTGCGGTATGGTACTCCCCAACCTGATGATTTGCGTGTTGGACGTGGTTCTACGACAGATCACGGAACCTTGTAAATAATTGCTCAATCTCTCTACTCCCTCTCTCTCACCGCAACTGGCGACCCTCGCCGTCAACCAATCATAGGCACAGTCCGCCACCTGGAGGGGCAAAATGTCTCGAAAGCAACCATCCTTAGGATAAGACTTCGCTACAAGACGGGCGAAGGGTGCCATGTTCCGTCTCATCGTTGGGATAGACTCCATTCAGTGCATCTCTTTTTCAACATCCTTCTTCTACACTTTCCCCGCAGCCTTACTGATCTTCCTCAATCCGGAAACCCCTAAGTGTCGCTTCGTCGCGAAGAGAGCATTACCTTATTCCACCGCCCTATTTCTTTTCGCCCGCTTCTCAAAAATCCGATCCATTTTGCGCGAGTCCTTCAGTATTATGTTCTCCTACCGCGTTATCTTGCACTCCAAAAGGATCCATTAATGCTATTTCGTCGTGTGGATTCTCAAAATCGCTTATCGTACATCATAACTTATTTGCTTACGTTTATTCTGATTTCGTTGCGTTCATTGCATTTTCCGGTTTCTTTATGTTGAGCACCGCTTGCCCGTTATGTCTCATAGCTCCTCGTTCCTGGCGCGCGCACACACTGCTAACAGGATCCACGAGATGCATCTCCATCGTCGTAGATTGCCTCTCGCAAAAGCGCCTCTCCTTTTTAGACAGGCTTCAAACCTCCCCTTTTCGTTCCGATTTCTACTGCCTAAGGCTGAATTCACATTCAATGGTTAAAACGTAATACATGCCCTCCTTCCATCTCCGTTCCGTTCCATCTCATTTTTTCTGTTTACCAATGCACCTATTCTTCATAATTATTATGCCCTTGCATAAGTAAGTGTTCCACCTGAATTGTAGGAAGCGTTAGCGTGACCCCCCTCGTTCCTTTCCGAACCACCACCTTTTATAAACTCCTTCTGATATCTGACTCGCTTTTCACCCAGTCTAGCTCTTTTAGCACACTTTAGGGGCGAGTGTACGACTATAAGCGCATAACGGAACATACGATAATATGGTAAACATCACAGAAAAAAACTAAAAAATAGAATAATAGATATTTCACATCGACTTCACTCTTCGAGATGCGGCCGTGCCTTGCCAAACGCCATTATACTGCTTCCCTCGCTCCACATTCTGCAAAGACTAGGACTTAGATGGTGAGTGTTCACAGCCTGCTAGGATCCCGGCCCTTTCGCCTTCTTTCGATCCTTTATTCGGCGTTCGCGCTTCGCATAATCCCATTCAGTCTGCGAAACGTATGCATCGTCGTCCGCCCCCTCAGCCCCTTTGATAGGATCACCTGCCCTGCCTACACGATCTAGCTATAGCTTCTTTCCTTTTCCGATCACTCCACATCCTTATCTACACGGTCCTGCTTCTCGAATTCCAACCAACGTTTCTGCTCCCCCCTTGCCGATGACAGAATCCCTTGTGCAGAAGTCTCGCATTTCCATATATACACATCGTAACCTCCTATGGGCCTGCGGAAAACTCTAATTTGCTATTCCACTCAGAAATGGAGGTCGTACACGACACATTCACTGCTCGAGCAGTGCCCCCCATTGCTCGCAGCTGCCAGTTTCTACTCTTTCCGCCATCGAATATCGTCGTACACGCCCCGTCGTTTTTAGATTCACGGTCAGCCTTTCCTGTTTTCGTCCCTATCAATCGTATTACTTTGCGGGTGTGCCACCCCATATACCCAGATCTCCCGTCCGTCAACGGAATGGGTGCACCTTACACCGCCATATTAATGATAGTTTTTGCTCCGCTATACTCTTACACCTGGCTAACAATTGCACATAACGACTGACTTAGGTCTGTGTCTGCTCGCGGTCTCGACCGAGCATTAGCCATTCGCGGCTCACACGCCACACTCCTCACTCACTCACTGGCGTGGCTCAACGACCTTTAGCGGGTGCCGATGCTTCCCTTTCTTATTCGTCATTCGTTGCCCACAAGGCACGCGTGATTTCCACACCTTGCTCTGCCCGCTCGGTCCAGTGTTTTTGCATAAGCGATTGCGCAATCTGCCAAGTCTGATGGGGCATGCCTAGCGCTCCGGAATTCGTGTCCCCCGTATCACCCCGCCGCCGCGAAGTGCCATTTCTTCGAAGCGTCCCTTCGTTCGATTCGTGGTCAGTTTGCCCGACCCGACGCGCCGTTGAAGCTTCAGCTTTCTCTTGCTTCGACGGGGACATATATTCTACAACTGCGCTTCCTTGCCATAAGGTCATGTTCGCCCTCGCGTGACCGCAGATATACGCGGTCATTGAGGCTGACACTTCACCTCCGGGCATCTCTAATAGTGTCAACTCAGCAAAGACCCGGGAATGCATCCACAGGCCCCGAACCTCCACCGCGCTTCCCTCCGCTGTGGACTCCCCCCCCGTTCACCGGGTCTCGCGGATCGCTCTTCTCCTACAATAAAAGTCATTCATCTTCTATCTGGCTACATAAACCTCCTTCCGCCCGTTGGGATCCTGGCGCTAACCTTCGGCTTTCCCGTCCCCATATAAACACACGCCACGAACTCACCAATGCAATCCGGATTGTTTTGTCTCGCGGCGACTTTGACGGCGGCGCTCATCGTCTCACATAATCCACAGTCTGTAGTGTTCTTGATGTTGCTGCCCGTACTTGCGGCATCCGCGCCATCTCCAAAGAGCTGTCCGCCTCTTCAGAGTAACCCGGAATCTTTATGCTCACTCTCCTTATGATCATGTCACTGAAAACAATTCTTTCTACCCGACAGTAATAGATCTGGTGATTCTATCAAGCTGGACTGAGTATCACTCTTGCCTGTACGCGGCCCGTATTGTCCACATCCCAGTCTTTCCGGCATCGGCCGTTGCCTCCATGCCCCGTCATTTACCACTCGAACCCCCGCAACCCGCCATAAAGACTCCACCGCCCCGCTTCCCTGCTGTTCCATAGTATTGCATACTAGGTTATGCAAGAGACAAACAATAAAATCGGAACGATCCATTCAGAACGACTCAAATGGCTGTCCGTTTCCATAAAGATCAATCATCCTACGGACATGCGTGCTTTCTCATATTGACATTATTCATATCGAGGCGGGTACTCCAGTAGGTTTTATACTTGGGAGATTGATTCGGCCAATCACGCCTCGGCCTCTTGTACCTCAATGCCGAAGCCATTTTCCCGTCCGTCTAACTCTTGTATCGCCAACAACACTTTTGATCAACTACGTTCTTTTTCAATACCTTTATAAAAATACAGTCGTAATCAGTGCAGTCCTCCACAACTAGAATCTCGCGCGACTTGTTCACGTTCCGCCTAGTTAAGCCTATTCACTGTCTCCCGGCCATATTGAGCACCGAGATTGCGCATGAAATGAATTCCACCTATAATTAAAGCTTAACCCTTGATAGCCATAATAGTGTGCGCAGCCTGCATTCACGCAGTACCTTACACTTTACGTGTGTTTTCGTGCGCTCTAGCCGACGCCCAGCCTGTGGCTCTCGTCTTTCCTTGCTCGTCTGCGCCCTCGCACTACTGGATCGCAATCAGGACTAAGCCGCTCACTCTGTGATCTCACACACTTTAACTTTTGCCATACGGTACTTGGTTTACCCACTACACCGCAATCACTCCCTTCCGCTAGCGCTTCATGTTGCTGCATTTGTTGGAGGGGAGCAGCGCCCAAGACAACCCCGTTGAGATATATGCGCCCGTGAGAACTAGGCGAACAGATATAGAAACAAAATGCCTATTTGTCAATCCTGATTCTGTCACACAATCATCCTATCTGCTAACTCGTCTGTCACTCTTGCTGGGACACCCCGTGCCCGAAAAACAATGATGCGTGAGATTTCAGCCTTTCGTCAGCGGTGCCATCTATGCTTGCCATGACTCGTCCGTCCGCAACACACCACACCGCTGCATATGTGCCATGACCTCCCCAACCACATAATCCGATCAACGCCCCTCTCGACTCTTTCCCCCCCGGGTTCTCTTCGCCCTTCCGTGTCCCACCCTTCCGGCCGTCGCTGCCTCTTTTCTGCTCCAGCTCTCGACCGAACTTGCCTAAGCTTTTGTGGTTCCTCCCTTCCTACCTCTTGTCCGTGTCCCGGCCTCTCCTCTGTTGTCGTGGTTTTCGCCCGCAACTCCCTCTTACACCTTGCCTTGGATGCTTGCCTCGCTCTTTTCGCGTCTCTCCGGTGTGATTCCTTTGAGCGGGCTGCGCGCGCATGTGTTCACGCTGGCCCCCTCTAGTTCGTACGTGGCTGGACCTAAACGTCGCCGCTCGGGCTCCTTCTATGTCCACAGAGCTTGGTTCCAGGGAGTGAATTTAACATGGTGCCGCGAAAACATCGTGGGCACATAGTGATAGCTATGATCGGTTTCTAATACCTGAACGCATAATCAACGAATGGAATAATCGGCGGTGGCCGCGTCTGATATATATTAGTGCGGACGGGAAACATATTGGAAGAGGATAGGGAAGGAAGCCTGCATTAAGATATGGTTAATCAGGTTCGCTAAATACCAGGTGTAGAAATCCATACCTCGTCCCAGAGCAGGGTAATCGATAGTAAGGAAGTATGTCAGTGAAGGGCCGAGATTAAACAATTTTGATTGAAAAAAGATGAG